GTACGGAAAGGCGGACGGACGGACTGACACTCACCCGGATTTTAGTTCGTCTCGTCACCCTGATTATTGTATAGATATATAACCCTATATCTAACTCGATTATTTTAAGGTGATACAAACAATCGTTAGGTGAACAAAACTATAACTGTGCAACTGTTCTACATAAAAAATCATTTGAAAATTGTTTTGAATATTACTAATATTGTAAATTTCATATCTGATTCCTATTAAACAAATTACTATGTTCAGATTCCTGAACAGCTCTTGACGGCTACAATTATAGTAAAGATATTTTTGTAAATCTGTACTTAAACAAATATATATTACAAATCTTAATAAACTTTATCTCCAGCATATACAAATGTACACTTAATGTATTTATCAATTACCCATTTCTATCTGCACATGAAATTAATGTTAATTTCGGGTATATCGAATAGTACAGTCTCTATTTTATTTATTGTATGTAATACAAATATTGCACTGACTGTGTAAAATGATCCTAAATTAATAAAAAGATAAGAAACAATTGTGTTATGCCGTTATAATTGACATATGTGTACAAACTGCCGTTCTGTATAGTAGATTTGGATTATGATATGTATGTAGTTATATATAACACAACTATGTATGTATGTGTTACATACGAGCACACGAATTACGATAAGGAAAATCTATAAATAAAGGAACTCTGGGCTACTATACTCTCTGTCCATAAAGTATAACGTGTCTAATCTCTTTCGGAGCAGTTTATTCTCTGTTAGGCATCTCTAACTAGTGACATTATTGTTCACTAGTCTGAAGTTTCATTACAGCGTCTCTCTATAATATTTTACAGAAGTATGTATGCACGAATGCGCAACTGATATGTATGTACATATGGCGTTAGAAAACGACTTTAGCTGTTAGTTTATTGCCTAATTTGCCGCTGAAGTAATTCAATTTGCTTGGTGTTGGTCGTAAAATTCTATGGCATGGAAATACTCGTAACATTAGTGTCACTCAAGTGTTTAGTAACATTGTACCTGCAGTCGTAACTTCTTCTATTTACTCGCGTTCTCTCATCTATTCCACTTTAAATGGCTGCTGGTTATGGCCCAGTTGAAAGATGTATCATAGATCAAGGCACATAACGCCATCACTATAATCTGCTGCCGTTAGAAGTTATCCAATAAATTACCCAAGATGCTGACGAGATTAAGAGAAAAGATACATGATTATGTTTAAACAACTTAGCACCAGCTTGTTAACTGTTTGACAAAATTTTCTTGAGCTGTAATTTGATTTCAGTGGTCTAGTTAAGCAATAATCCTTCAACATTTGCTCGTTTTATATTTAAAACAGTCTCCTACTGGAAGTTACACATAAATGTGTGGTATATGTAAAGTATAAGGTCAAATATCTCCCTTCCGCTTTTTTGTCTTTTGAATTTCGCGGCTATATACAAAGCGCTACAGAGCTCGTATCTGGCAACACTATACATAATTTGAAAGGTCTTGACATAACCTACAAAACAACGCTATGCATGATTAGTTTGGATATTGCGTTCAACAGTTATAGACGTGTAAACATGGAGTTCACTAACGCCGAAATTCGCGCTATTTTAAAGTTTTCCTTCGTTAAAGGCAAATCCGCTAGAGAAACGTTCCGTGAGATTAATGGTGTTTTGGGGGATGGTACTCTATCACTTCGAACCGCGGAGGAATGGTTTCGACGATTCAGAGCCGGTGAAAACGACACCATGGATAAGCCAGCCGGAGGAAGACCTGTGACGACAAATACCGATCAAATCATGGAATACATCGAGTTAGACCGGCATATGGCATCTCGTGACATCGCCCAGGAGATGGGAGTTAGTCACCAAACCATTTTGAACCATCTGCAGAAGGCAGGATACAAAAAAAAGTTTGATGTTTGGGTGCCGCATAATTTAACGCAAAAAAACCTTCTGGACCGAATCAACGCCTGCGATATGCTGCTGAAACGGAACGAACTCGTCCCATTCTTGAAGCGGATGGTGACTGGCGACAAAAAATGGATCACATACGACAATATCAAGCGAAAACGGTCGTGGTCGAAGGCCGGTGAATCGTCCCAAACAGTGGCCAAGCCGGGATTGACGGCCAGGAAGGTTTTGCTGTGTATTTGGTGGAATTGGAAGGGATCATCCACTATGAGCTGCTCCCATATGACCAGACGCTTAATTCTACCATCTACTGCGAACAACTGGACCGCTTGAAGCAGGCGATCGACCAGAAGAGTCCAGAATTGGCCAACAGGAAGGGTGTAGTGTTCCACCAGGACAACGCCAGACCACACACTTCGTTGATGACTCGTCAGAAGCTACGGGAGCTCGGATGGGAGGTTTTATCGCATCCACCATATAGCCCGGACGTAGCGCTAAGTGATTACCACCTGTTCCTGTCCATGGTGAATGCCCTTGGTAGTGTGAAGTTGAACTCAAAAGAGGCTTGTGAAAAGTGGCTGTCCGAATTCTTCGCAAATAAGGAGGGGGGCTTCTACGAGGAAGGTATTATGAAGTTGCCGTCTAGATGAAAACAGATCATCGAACAAAACGGCGCATATTTTAACTAAATCCGATCACTGTAACACTTTTTATAAAGCATTGAATGAAGAGCAAAAAATCGGGAGATATTTGACAACCTTATATTATATACTTGTATGTATAGCTCAACCGCCCAAGCATTTGTGTGACTATGATTTAAGCTATTCGTACCGTTTGCAGTATGCCGATCTCCATTTCAGATACGTTGATTGGCTCATTTATAATGTGGTGCCACTAGCTTCCAATTATGAGTTTCTATATATTTGAAGCGACAATCATACTAGAGAGTTGTAATTTGTGAGTTTTACTTCAATAATGCAGAAAAAGAATTTTTCTAGTATACATACATCTGTTATTGTATCTATATTGTTTTACTATATACGATAGCGGTCATATGTTTTAAATATTTTTTATTGTCATTCGTTTCACAAAGCTTTCTTCATGGCTGTTTAATGGGATTTCTTCAGGTCCTCAAAATTCACATATTAATATTAGCCGTGGGCACTTCCCTTAAAGCAGGCATAATTCAATAAATCGCTGATATTTTATTGGATTTAGGTGCCAAAGTATATTGAATCCTCAAGATCCTCATCATCTTTTCTCTTTTCTACAATTAAAGACGACAAATTCCAAGTAATGGCTCTGAATCAGTCGTATTTAAAAGTAAAACTAAGTTGGAATTAGATCCGCCACCTATGAAGTTTTGATTTGAAAACATTCCTTATTTGTGCTACCAGGCAGAATATTTGTATAAACTTTATAATCATATGTCAGAGTTAGTACTTTTGGCAAACATTCAAGACCATATTGGCGCTTTCATATCTACATGCTGTCTACTTGAGGAAAGATAGGCGACGTGCTGGTAGTGAGTATGGGTGAAATGAAACATGTCAAGCTGTGAGGTTCTTGCCTTTAAACGAGAAGAAATATTAGTAAAGAGAAACTTTTATGGACTCACTGAATACCACAGAGGGTACTAATGCAAGCACATGATAAACATATGAGTCCGATTATAATAAAAACAAAATATCGATAATCGAATGTACAAAGCCCGCGAAATATCAAAATTCACCTTTTCCTTTGAATACACCTAATATCTCGTATATTGAAAGATTTATACTGTAAAATGTCCGCTGTTATAAGGCGATAGTAAAGATATAGCTAGCAACACCTTTGAAAGCACTGTTTTAAAGAAAATGCCGAAAATCAAGAAAAATATGTGTCTGGTACTTTAATCTATGGTATAACTTTTAAGCAAAAATCATAAGGCATGTGGGCTTGAAGTTTAGAGTTATCGCCATTTTTTACTCTTATATATTTTCTTAATTAACAAAACTATTTATGTGATTGAATCTTGAATATGACTTTTACCCACCGTAAAATCCCTAAATGCCACAAATTGCCTGATTTAAGTCATTTAAGAATAATTTTAAAGTTTTAATAATGTTTATTTAGCGTTTCTTTGTCTTTTAATTTAAAATTTATTTCACTCCACTTCTTATGTGAACCCATAAAATACCCCAATGTCAGCTTATATTATGCTATAAGGCTTCTAAATCGTAAAGTCAAATGGTCAACAAAACAGTTCGTGATTTCATGTGAAACACTCAGCCAAGTTTATGGTGTAAACATCAAGAAACCCATCATCTATCATATCGGCATTTGAATACAGTTAAATGCTGTATAAATTATCGACGGCATATCTCAGCGTGTCCGGACAGAGAAATCGAATGTGTGACAGAAAATTTCATTGTTTTATCAGCGTTTGCCGAAATGGGTTTGACTTCCAACGCGCAAACATTAACCCGACACCACCCGATTTTCTCACACCGTACGTGCCTTTCGGTTTTGGCAGACACATTACCAACCGACGAGCAGAAAACAAACTATTCAAACACAAGCTCGAATAAAATATGTACATAGTTGCATGCACTTTAACTCCTTCGTTGGGCCACACGCAAGCCGCAAGTGCTTATAACAGCCCTAAATATATCTGCCTTCACTAAAACCGACGTTATAAGCCATAAAACCAACACATACCTAATTGGATTTATGTAGTGCCTAAAATGCAGCGAATAAAAAAATATTGTTTACGTGCAGGGGGCGGCCGGCAACTGGAGCGGCGCGAGTAAGGTTGCAAACTCACACACATGGCCGCAGTTGGCGAACTGACGCACACAAGTGCAATAAAAAAGAAGAATGTGCAGGGTATATATATATTTATAAATGCGTGTGCTCACTGTTGACTATAAAATCTGCCGGGCACGTGGTGGCATCTATTTCCCAATAGCAAATATTAGCGCAGCGAAAACGTTCCACAAGCGCCGCCGCCAAAACAATGAACAGCTGTTAGTGCCAAACTGTTATACGCCTGCAAGTATGCTACGAAAAATATCCCTTGGCAAACTCGTGAATGAATGTCTGGCAGGACAGTGCTGAAGACTGAGGCGGCAAGTTCACAAATCAGTATTCATAGGATGTTGGTGCTTGGTCGGTTGACAGTAGCGCCGAAACAGTGCAACGAGTTACAGTTCGGGCGGACACGGCCTCACTGATCGGGACTTTAACCGTAGTGCGTTTATTGCTGATTTCGTTAGTTGGACTGTTTAAGTTTAAGCACTTCAGTTTGCTTCGTCAATGCAAGTAGGGCAAGTGTTAATCGTGTGAACGGCGCTTTAAAGAATTTAATTCCAAACCGATTTATTTAAAATATACCACTGACACAGTAAACATATTAAAGTTCATTGAAATGAAATGTTGTGAAGAATTAAAAAGGAAAAAAATATTATTTCAAAATTTAAACCAAGAATTAACACAAGTGAATGGAATGTAAAGCAGCACAATTGTGTGGAGAATGCCTGAAATAATTGTGGAAATTAAAGACGAAATTATTGAATTTTAATTATTTATTTATTAAAGTTTACAAAAACACTTAATAATTGTTGAGAAATAAAATCGTAATAAAAATAATTGTAGTGGACTACTAAATGTTTTTGTGAATTTGCTATGATATATATGATGTTAGTTTGTTACAAATTTTAATAAAAATTCTGAAAGAAAAGGGTAAATATTAAGAAAAAATAATAATAATATTATAGCTTAGTGTAAATGTGGGACCAACTGTGTATAGTAAATTGAATACCGAGTGAGAGTAAACTTTTTTAAAGGAAGTGTCGAAAGTTTGAAAAAAAACGTTTGCAAAACATACACAAAGATTATAATGTAAAAAGAAAGTCTAAATTCAGGCTGAGCCAAGCACAAAAAAAAATATTGAAAATTTTATTTAAAAAAAAATGGCAAGCAGAAGAAAAACACCAGTCAAGTATCTTTACACAAATGTATATATATTGTAAAGTGTGGGGATGAAGAGAAATTTTTCCAAGTTTATTAGCACTCGTGAGGTACTCGGATATGAAACCCATTTTTAAACCCTGAAAAGAGTTTATTTAGTTCGCCACAATGTTTGTAACACCAAAAAGGAAACGTCGAAGACCCTATAAAGTATGTATGTATGTATATAAATGATCAGCGTGACGATCTGAGTTGATTTAGCTATGTCCGTCTGGCCATCCGTCTGGTCTGAATTTGTTCACACGTCCTTTTCTCATCAGGAAACTGCTCATTTGTCGGAACCGCCGATATCGAACAATTATCGCTTTGTCGCAGTTTAAACGTTAAGTGCATGTATGAAAAACTTTTTAATTTTACGAGATATCTTCAAAATTCGGCACGGATCATTGTTTACTAAAGTATATAGCTGCCATATAAAATGACCGATCAATCTAAAATTCTTGTAGGAAATGTTTTGTATTTGTGAAGAGTATTATATATTCGGTGCAACCGAAGTCAAAGGTTTCTCTTGTTCTTAGTTTCGGAAGGATGCGCATACTCGATTTTGTAATTGTGATAAAACTGCTCTGTGGGCGTGGTTTGCATAGCAAAAATATTTTATTAAATATATTATAATTTACTCACTCAATTGATTTTATAATTATTATTTATTTTCCGTCTGCGAAAATAATATTAAAATTATTCTGAAATGAGATATATATGACATAAACTGAACTGAAAAGTGGATATGAAATTGACACCAAGATCTAGACCAACTCCATTCATGTTCAGCGCTTAACCATTAATATAATAAGGTTTGTTAGAATAGCGGAAATATATTTTCGGCATTAAACTATAGTATATTAAATATTAATCAGTTAATTTCACAAATATATTTTATATATTGACCAAAATATACGGTAGAAAGCCAACTGAAAGTTTGAACAATGTGTATGAGGTATATGAGCTCTAAGGGATGTGTTGACCAGATTTTCTCTAGTTTTGGCATTATTACATACTATTAACAGAAAAGATGTTTTCTGAGTTTCATTAAGTTACCTTAAATATCATCATCAATATATACGGGATAAAGTCAAACGGAAGTTTTAAAATTCTGGTATTCAATATGTGGGGACTAGGGCAAGTTTTTATCCATTTTGGATATATTTTTATTAGGTATACGGGAGAAATTATAAGGAAAATATAAGGAAATTACTGCCTCAATTCAACCTATTTTCGACACTCAGACATACTATTATCAAGGCAAGGATTCTCTCCGAATCTTATTTATATACATACACATTGAAATCTTCGGTATCTTGGGATTTTCAGAGTTATGGTCCGAGTTTTGAGAATAATTAGACTTGTGATGGCATATCCCGATTTATTCATTGGTGCTTGATTTGTCTACTGGAAAGTGAAAGAATCAGATGTAATTGAAAGTGGTGTTCTAAGGGGAGGAGGCGTGATTGTTGTCCGATTGCGCTCACTTTCGCACTGTTAAATTAATAATATCGCATTTTTAGTAGTTTTTAAACTCTGATTTCACTTATTTTCGTAAGAGGTGTCAAAGGTATTTGCCCTGCATACATTTAGGTGGAATAGCTTGAATGGTTTGGGGGATATATAGTACATTCAACCTATTAGGTAGCGCAACCCCGCCCACTTTTTATATAGCCCAGCGAAGTCCCTCAATAATTCACTGTACTAAATTAGAGCTTTGTGTCTTAATTTGGACCTTATTTATTGGAGTTTATAGGTTTTCGATTAATGGCGTTTTGTGGGTGTGGCAGTGATCCGATTACGCTCGTCTACAATAACAGAATTTTTATGGTGCCAGGGAATATGCGCACCAAGTTTCATGAAAATATCTTAAATTTGATTCAAGTTACAGCTTGCACAGGCAGAACGACGGACGGACAGTCAATCACCCAGACTTCAGCTCGTCTCATCATCCTGATCATTTATTTAACCCTATATTACCAGCAAGCTTAGTGTGAATAAAACTATTATCCGTTGTAGACCCAATTGGGAGGCTTTTACATTAAATTAGAATAAATAAAATCATTATACTTAGTCTTGTCAGAAAATGTCTTACAAAGTTTTTCATGACTATATATTAATAATTTCAGTGTTTGTTTTTATTTATTAAAAATGGAGAACTTTGAACGTGGTATTGCGGGGATATTAGTCGGCCAATTAGTCATCATTAGACAAAGTGCTTAAAGCAAATTAGGCTCAACAGATACAAACGGCCATGGAAGCATCTTTTCTACTTTTCAAAGACATGCTCCCCATTCATCCGATGTATTGGTTTGATGGGGAGTGTCCTGTAAAGGCGTTACAACTCTTCACTTATGTGAAAAATGGTGTTTAAACTGGGTCCAAAGTGTATGGTGTTGGCGATATTTTCTGTATAAAATCAGCTTTACGCCCATAGGTCTTTATATAAGGTGGCCTTGAAAAGTTATATTCCGTTATCAAACATTTTCAAACTGTAAGGTTTGAGGTTTTACCTAAGAGTCGCCGTTATTCCCCCCCTTGTCCAATTTTTTTGGCGTATTACTTTTACGGTTAAGTTTAATATTTTTGACGTCTTTCGTTGCACCTTGACCTAATTTTTAGTAATTTCGCAAGTAATCCTTATATGGGAAGTGGGCGAGAATATTATCGGAATTTTCTCATTTTTACGCTGTTTCAAATAGTTCCAAAAATAGCATTTGTACAAAGTTTGATTGATAGAGTTATTTAGTACACTAATATTTTGCGGCTAAGTTTTAGTAGTTTATATAAGTTCATTGTGAGTATTTTGTGGGCGTGGTATGATTGTGCCCTCAACAATTGCAATCTCCTCAGAGTTGCAAGGAATATGTGTACAGAAATCATTAAGATATCTTATATTTATCATTGGGACGAACAAATGAACTGGTAGAAGGGTGGAAAAAGGTCCGGAAACCAAATTGTCTTGCATTTTGATCATGTCTATCTGGATTAGTTTTAAGCCGGTAGTTAAACAAAACTAGTAGACTCTGAAACATGGCATCAAACATTAAATAATAAAAGTGGGTGGCGTCCAATTGAGGATTTCAATTTATTCACCAGTGCCTAATTATTTATTTAACTTTCTCAGAATAAGTATTATCTGCGTGATTAAAAATGTTTAAACGAGTTAATTAGAAAATCAAAATAACAGCTAACGATGGAAAAGAGTCAACAAAATGCAAAATAAAAACTCTTGGTAATTATTTGTTCTTCATGGTGATGAATAGTGGATATTTGTGTATATATATCATATTAGGTTGTTCGTTATTTCCCAAGTTGAAAAATCAACTTTTATCTTCAGTTTTTGCAACAAGCTTCTTATTTTCAATTTAAACTGTACCTAAATCAGTTTTCTTTTCCTATATATTCTGTATAGGATATTTTGATCCTTTGCAATAATATTTGTACTTTAAAGAAAATAGATCTATTACATCTTTGAAAAATTGATATTCTAATACAAAACTTTCCAACCTTAAAAAAAGTTTTTATACCCTGAACAGGGTATATTAAGTTTGCCACGAAGTTTGTAACACCCAGAAGGAAACGTCGGAGACCCTATGAAATGTATACATAAATGATCAGCATGATGAGCTGAGTTGATTTAGCCATGTCCGTCTGTCTGTATATATACAAACTAGTCCCTCAGTTTTTATGCTATCAATCTGAAATTTTGCACCTTTTCTAACATATCGATATCGGACCACTATAGCATATAGCTGCCATACAAACTGAACAATCGGAGTCAAGTGTTTGTATGGAAAACTCTTTCATTTGACGAGGTATCTTCATGAAATTTGGCGTGTATTATTATTTAAGGCATTAATCCAATCCTCGAAGAAATTGTATAGATCGGATGACTATAGCATATAGCTGCCATATTAACTGAACGATCGGAGTAAAGTGCTTGCATGGAAAATTTTTTTATTTGACGAGGTATCTTCACGAAATTATTCACGAGTTATTGCTTAAGGCAACAAATTATTGTCCACAGAAATTGGTCAGATCAGATCACTATATCATATAGCTGCCATACAAATTGAACGTTCGGAATCAAGTTCTTGTAAGGGGCCTTTGTATTTGTGAACGGTATTATAGCTTCGGCGCAACCGAAGTTACCGTTTTTTCTTGTTATTGATTTTTTTCATACAAACATTGGTTTATAAAGTTATACCTTAAAGGTGCTGTATTCATACAGAGCACCATGTCGTATGACCAACACAGAATGACCCATATAAATCACTTGAATGAATGTTCAGGTAATTTGGTATATAATTTTAACTGCGTATAACTTCTAAAATAATACTTTCATGAAAAAAATCATGTAAACCTTTTTTGTAGAGGGGAAAATTTTGTATTCGAATATCACTTTTTCAGGGGTTTAAGTTTACTTCTTTAGTGCAAAATATCCTATGTTATATACAAGGGAAAATAAATATAATTTGGGCACGGTTTAAGTTGAAAATGAAGAGTTTGTTTACGCTGGATCCACAACTTTAGTGAAAAAAATTAAATTTCAAAGAGCGTTTGAAAAAACGCAATCATCTTGGGGAATAACGGACACCCTAATATTTATGTATATATAAATATATGGATATGACGGCCATTTAAAAGACAAAGTTTACATAAATAGCAAGTCATGGAAAATGCAAACAAAAAGTGCGTCAATAGTGATCACATAAAATGTGGTAGTG